ACATTTCTAAAATGTAGTTTGGTAAATCAAATTTTAAAAATTAAACTAGTTTTGCTGTTGATATTCGATGTGTTTCTGAATGTTTTGTGTGATAAAAAGTTATTACATTATCGTGTAAACCACATGGTACAAATTTTACAACAAGTGATATTTCATATTTACTTCAAAATATATATAGATCATATATTACATAATATTCAAGGAAAGTGAAATTAGCCTTTTCCACCATTACTTCTGATTCTAAAAGTTTTAATTCTGAATTTTTAGTAAATCATTTTTGAAAAATTTGTTAATTTTCTATCATTATTCTAGTGAATAAATCAACCTAATTGGTGACCCTGACATGATCATCTGCATTAAAAATGGACTTGAAAAATTTGAAATGTTTTATTTTATATTTTGAAATTATTTGAAAATTTTGAACTTTTGTTTTTGAATTATTCAAATCAGTTGATACGTGTTCACAAATTCGTTGACGAAAAGTTGTATCCAACCTAAACACACACACACACTCATACACATCCGTTTTCTGTAAGATATGCCAAACGTTCGTAAGACTTTGTTCATAAGACCTTATTATTATTTTTTTTTATTTATTTATTTATTATAGATACATGATTTTTAAATATTAAATTAAACGAAATAGAAACATTCAACGAATTGGTGACCCCGAAGTGGTCATCACAAGTAGTAATGGACATCTTTCTGGTTTTTATTTTTAATTATTAATTTGTTTATGAATACATGATTTTATAAATTGAAATTAAAAAAAAATCATCAACCACATCAATCAAATTGGTGACTTTGACTTGGTCATCAAAATTACAAATGTACAAGTTTCTGGTTTTGATTTTTATTTATTTATTTATTACATATATAGGATTTTCCAAAATAAAATAAAATAAAAAATCAATCAACCAAATTGCTGACCCTTACAACCTTTCGGTTTTTATTATTATTTATTTATTTATTTACGGATACGATGTAGGATTTTGTAATATTTAATTAAATTAAATAAAAACATCAAAATAGCACGAAAATTCTAAATAAATGTACAATGCAGATGTTAGATGTTTATCTAAAATACTTAATAATAAATATAATAAAAGTACAAATAAATAATAAAAGATCCCAAACTGATCGGATTATAATATAGATAATAATAAAGTTAACTTAAACTAAAATAAATAACTTGTGATATATTTTTGTCTAAGATGCCGAATTTTTCGATAAAATAGCTATGTTATAGTAATGCTATGGTACGGGTCTATATTCGTATGAATTGATGGTCACAAACTTATTCAAAAAGCTATGAATTTGCTGAGCGGTCAGGCGTTTTCTACCTAAAACCTAACCTCTAAAATTCAAAAACGTCAAAGAAGTTAGGTTTATGTCGCACAGCAAATACATAGCATTTTTACAGTACGTTACTACCTACTTATGCACTGTAATATAGCATTGCAATAACATTTCCATTTTTTGGAAAATTGACCCTTAAATTTGAGTTGAATTAACCGTAAAAAAATTTTGGAATTTGTCCCATATATTTTATTCATATCTTTTAATATAGGATTTTCTTTATTGTTGGTTTGATTATAAAAACTAAATATATGTGCACCTACTTAGTTTTATTCCGTTATTAGCACTGTTATAATTGTTTATAATAACGAAAAAGACGTCAAGTGCAAATTCATATGTTTATCTTCATTGTCGATATACAAACGGCTTACATCGGAACTCTTTACGTATTGAGCGCTGGCAAAACAATTTCAAAGTTCATTTATTACACATGGACGAAATAATTTAAATTAAACTAATTCTATTGCACTTTTTGATATATTTCACTAAACAAATCAAATATTTATATTTTTAAACAGGTTAGTAAAAATCGCCATTTTGTTTAAATAATCATTTTTCAATCTGACATTTCCGGCAGCAGGGTTAAAGAACATCTAACCAACTTCACTGTATTAAATTGCATCTGACTTCATGCGATTAACAATAATTTTCATATTTTTTAACAGGACTTTGGATAAACGTTCTGGGATTTATGTATATGTTTTATTTATCATATTTTCATAGAATTAAGTATTTTAATTGCATCTAGGGACGCTGAAGATTTGAATCAGTTCTACAACGGGCGGGAGATGGGTGCTTGGCCTCCCAATGTTGGCATCCTTGCCATCGAACTGACGTTTCCGTCGCAATATGTCGACCAGGCCGAACTCGAGGTAAGGGAAATAAAAAATTTAGAAAATACATGAATATTATGCAACTTTTGTGTTAAAAAGAAGATTATTGGATGCGATGTGAGTAAAGTCATATCTTTAAATAAAATGAGAAGTACAGATTGATAATTTCAATGAAAAAAATACATTCAGAAGTTTAAAAAACCAGTAAATAGGTTAGGTTACCCATTCGAAAAAATAACGTCTACTATTTAATCAATAGATTTAGAAATAAATATTGTTCAATTAAAAATGACACAAAACCAAAATGTAAGTAACGTCAGTGTAAATCATTTTGATATTAATTTAATAGATAACTATATATAGATAAATATTGATAGTTATTTTTATATTTTGATTACCTTATCAATACTCTTAATTAATAATAGTATTAATAACAAAAAAATTGTTATCTAATCTTCGATTGTTCAAAGTTCATCAGCCTTATTATATTATATTATATTATATTATATTATATATATATATATATATATATATTATGTATTGATGAAAATCAATTTGTTTATTATTAAAAAAAAAAATTCATTAATTAGTTTAATTTTCTATTATTTAAATTTTTTTACTTCATTTACATATAAGTCAACACTTTTATTATTACTATTTTTTTTAAAAATACTCATAAAACAATATTTATATTTCTTAATTTTAAATAATATAGATATTATAAATATTAATATATTTAAATTTTTTAACCACACAATTAACAATACCTAGTTAATATTATGATATTTTATAATTTTCTTCTTCTTTAAATATATTGTTATTTAAAGACTTCAAAAATTGATTTTTTTTTGCCAGATGTTTATATATTTTATATAAATTCATTTTTCATGTTTTGTTTTTTTTTTTATTAAACTTAACTTGTAAAAAGAGAATTGAAGAAAAATTTATTAAATAATTTAAGTTGCAATTTAATTTCAATTTCTTTATTTTTATTTTTTAGGCATTCGATGGAGTGTCAGCAGGAAAATACACAATTGGACTCGGCCAAGCAAGAATGGGCTTCTGTGGTGACCGAGAAGATATTAATTCATTGTGTTTAACAGTTGTTAAAAATTTGATGGAAAGACATCAAGTGCCTTATGATAGAATAGGTACTTTATAAAAAATACCACCTTTAACCTCATTGAATGATTCATCAACATTTAGATTTAACTCAATTAACTTTTCTTCTTCAATTATATTTAAGGTTATTTGGGAGTAGGCACAGAAACCCTTCTCGACAAATCAAAAAGTGTAAAATCTGTCCTTATGCAATTATTCGAACCACACTGCAAAGGTGTTACTGATATCGAGGGTGTAGATTCTACAAATGCTTGTTATGGGGGCACTGCTGCACTTTTCAATGCTGTTTCCTGGGTCGAAAGCAGTGCTTGGGATGGCAGATTGGCTTTGGTTGTTGCTGGAGACATTGCAGTATACGCAAAGGTATATAAAACAGCCAAAAAACTAATTATAGTGTAATAATGTAATAATATTTTTATTATTTAGGGTGCTGCTCGTCCAACAGGAGGTGCAGGTGCTGTAGCGATGCTGGTGGGTCCCGGAGCTCCCTTGTCGATGGACAGAGGTCTCAGGGCTTCATGTATGAGACATGCTTATGATTTCTACAAACCTGATTTGAGTTCAGAGTATCCCACGGTTGATGGAAAATTAAGTATTCAATGTTATTTGGGAGCGCTGGACGCTTGCTATGCTCTTTACTGTGAAAAAAGGGCAAAGTTGGAGGGAGAAAAATCTAGTCAGTAATAGAAATTCACTGTTTGCTTATTTTCAACAAATTTAATGAAATTTTTCAATTGATTTTTATTTCTATTACAGAAGGTTTAGATGGATTAGACGCTGTCCTGTTCCATGCTCCTTATTGCAAACTTGTGCAAAAGGCTTTGGCACGTTTGGCACTCAATGATTTCTTACGTGAAGAAGGTACTGCCAATCACACGAGTTTGACCACTTGTTCTCAGCCTTCAGAAGTGGTGGTCAATGGAAATGGTATCGACAATGATTCCCACAAGTTAAAGTTAGTTATCATACTCAGATTTAATAAAAATTTAAAATCGAAACATAAGATGATAATTAATTATTACTTATAAAATTAAAATAGTTATGAAATTAAATCTATAATGCTAAAAATATATTATACATACATACATACATTCAAAAATAAGAATTTTGATTATTATCAAATACTAGATCTAATACTGGGTATTTTTTAATATATATTCTTTATACTTAAGTTTTTTATTTGCATATATTTATTTTGTTCTATTTTTTTCTTTTACAAAAGTCAAATATACTTATGTAGTTTATCATTCCAGATATGAATCAGTGTCACAATTCTCTCAGGTAAAACTCGAAAACACATATTTCGACAGAGATGTAGAAAAGGCATTCATGGATTTAAGCAAAAAGCAATTTGAACAGAAAACAAAGCCTTCGTTGTTACTTGCTAATCAGGTAATAATTGTTTAATTTAATTTTAATGAAGTAGTCTTGATGGTTGCTATGGAATAACAATTTAAAAAAAGTATTGTTATATAATATGCGGATATTTTTCTTTTTGTTATATAAATGTTTGGTTGATATATTTACAAAGAAAAAATTGCTATTATTATTATTATAAATTATGCTTTTGTTGCTTTTATTATATCAGTGCCAATGGCATTACATATCTAGTCTTTCTTACTTTCACTTTCTTAATATGATACAACATATAATAAATTTAACAAAAACATCTTGCACAATTTGAAATTATATTGCAATTGTAAATACACTTTGCCAACCCACAATTGCTGGGTTAAAATAATAGGATCGGATGTAAAAATGGAGTTATTAATTCTTTCATAATATTTTTTGTACATCTTTGAATGTAACGGCCATCAGCGCGAACATTAGAAAGTGCATGAAGTTAGCCATGATGATGATAGATGTGAAGTTGTTGATTATGTAACGTGTTAATGGTGTTTTTTTGAATATATCTTAGTGGAAGTAATATCAATGTTTTATTATATTAATTTAATAGCAAGTAAGCATAATATATATTTTATCATCACTGCTGCAGAAAATAATTAAAATATCTTTCTTTAAGGTTGGAAATATGTACACACCATCAGTATACGCAGCTTTGGTGTCTTATTTGGTCAGTAAACCAGCCAGTGAATTGGTAAATCAAAGAATTGCTTTGTTCTCCTATGGTTCTGGATTGGCAGCAACTATGTTCTCACTTACGATCACTGGAGACCCACAACATTTGACTAGAATACTCAAAGGTAATATAATAGGAACAAAGTATGGAAACTGGTAAATCTAGTCTCTGAAATTTGTTCTCCGATTCCTGGAATAATGTTATTTTTGGTTGCTTATCTGATTTTTTTGAGAATGTGACGATATTGTGCTTTGTGTAATTTAATCTGTTTATTAATAGACCCTTATTTGTATTTTATTTAGGTGTCAGAGATATTAAACCAATGTTGGAAGCAAGAACAAAAGTAGATCCTCAAGATTTTGCAAAGTCAATGGAAGAACGTGAGCACTACGGACACCAGGCTCCTTTTGTAAGTTTTATATTATAAAATTAAACAATTATAATAAATTTTAAATTTATTTTATGCAAAATAGTAAAAATGTTCATAAATTGAACGCCACATTATACGTTACAAAAAATTTATAATTTCTTTCATATGGTCTATTATAAAGAAATTTAAGTAAGAATTTTGTTTTTCTATTATTCATTTATTATCTAGGTTCCAAAAAGTGATGTGAAGACACTATTCCCCGGTACTTATTACCTTGAGAAAGTAGACGACCTGCACAGAAGAACATATGCAAGACTCGACAAAAATTTTGACAAAATAAATGAATAAACTTATAGACGACAATCTACTACATAGACCATATTGGAAAATCAACAAATTTCATTTTTCATCCATCGATAAAATGTTTATCAAGATGATAGATCCAATAAATGACATAGATAATATATATGAAATAAATTTTATATAATTGAAAAAGGGTTGTTAATTCGAACACAAAGTGAATGCTGAGCAATTGTAAAAGTATTAAATTTGAGAAATAATTTATTTTAGGTGTAATAAAAGTTTTGTTGCATTCGTTTTGTGTTCCTTCTAATGAAATATTTTGTTATAAAGTAGAAAATAAATGTGACCGGGTTGTATTTTAAGTAGATAAATATATATATATGATTATTCATGTTTTTACATGTACATATTTTTATGTATATAAATAATGAATGAAAATTATAGTAGATAAATTATATATTATTTTAAAATGTACACTCGGTACTTTATTACTTGAAATATATGTATTTTTACAAAATTTGGACTTTTGTAAAATAATCTAAAACTATAAGGCATAGATCTTAATGAAATATAATGTGAATAATTATTAAAAATTTACATTTTACAATATTAATTGTTGATTACATATGATTTTCACAAATTTTAGACAAACAATGTCAAATATACTTTAGAAAAAATTCAATTGCTTTGAATATTAGTATATAACAATCCTCATCAAGATTAAATTAATGAAGTTATTAAATTAAAAATATAATTATTTTTTCTTTATTAACAATATTTATGCAAATGCTTGTAAATATAGTATTATTGTTTAAATAATTAAATTTGAAGAATAATCAAATTTATTCTTCAAATTCTGAAACTCGGCCATTTTTTGTATCCTTATGGCGCTGACTGTACCTTTAAAATGACAGTTGATAACGAACTTAACAAAAGTGCTGTCAAAATTTCTTTTTTTAAAAAAATATTTATAAAAATACATGTTAATAATATTTTGTTATAAATAATGTATTTGTGTTTATTGTATTTATCAATTGTTAGTGAAAAACAATTAATCAAAGTGGGGAAAGTAAAATAAACAAAAATCTGTTAACCTAACCTCAAAAGTGCACAACTTGATTTGTTAATAAAAGGTATTTATAAAAATACTTGTTGGTAACAATATTATTTTGTAAATAACATATGTGTGTTATTATACAATATATTTACTAATTTCTAGCGACATATGATTTAAAAAAATATAAAAAATGAAACAATAAAAAATCTCTTAACCTAACCTATTGGACATGCACGATTTCATTTTTTAATATATATATTTTCGAGGTGTAAATTGATAAAAATGCGTGTTATTACAATATTCTATATTAGATAACATAATTCTATTTATCACATTTATCAATTACCAGTGACAAATAATTTTAAAATTTCTCCTAACCTAACCTAACTTATCCTTTACATTTCTTATATAATTTTCTTTCTTTTCATGGAAATTTATCTCGTCGAAACACGAAAGGTGAGATTCGAATTTTGCCTTTTACATTTTGTCGTGTGAAACTGAAAAATGTATTTATCAAATAATCGAATCGAGGCAATTTAATAGGTTTTCTATATCCCCCGGCCTTGCGAAATCCTTTCACACATGCCTGCAGAACAAGATTCTTATAAGAAGATTTTCTTGGGAGGAAAATGGAGGAGTTGGAAAATCAGGAGGAAGAAGAAGGTTTGTGTTTAAATTTGGTTTTATATTATGAATCTGATGGAATATTTTGAATGTTATGTATGAAGTATAAAAAAAACAATTTTAATATTCCAATATTATTCATTTCTTAACATCGTTTGTATTTTGTGAGAGAAATTACAACTATACATTTTGATAAAATTATATATACTTAATTAAGTATAGAGATTTTTGTTCCCAATATGCTGAAGGGTTTTTAAGGTTAAAATAAGAAAAGCACAATAATAATAGAAGAATGTGGAGTCCTATTTTGAGAAGAAATAATAATAGGACATTATAAAAAAAAAACATGGTGTTTTTTAGGATCTTGTTTTGATTGAATTTGAATTTACTTTTCGAAGGACCATATGTAAAACACTTAATTGAATAACTGTATATATTTATTTTATAAGTTATAATAGTATTTATAACAAATTTAATATGTTTTGATTATGTATTGATTGAATTGACCTGATTTTTATAATTATCTATTTGATGATTTTTTGTTTTCTATTCGCATAACCGCCTGCTTTGATCGGCGCGAACATGCTCCCGCCTTTGAAATATAGATTTCAAAATGTTTGGTAATCTTCGTGAATGTGAATTAAGTTGTTGTTAGTGGTTTTGGTAATACACATATTCTGTGAACAGCACGCTTGAGTATTCCACCCTTTGTTTTAATTGTTACTACACGCACAATTCCATCATCTCCTGGGTGCGTTTCAATGATACGTCCTAATTTCCACTGCATTGGAGGTAAATTTTCTTCCTTAATTACTACCATTTCCCCTATTTCAATTTGCTGTGATTGTTGCACTTGCCACTTCGTTCTACATTGTAACTCTGAAATATATTCTTTATGCCAGCGTTTCCAAAAATGTTGTACAAGTTTTTGGAGTCGTTGATATCGAGAAAGTTTATTGTCAGGTATATCAAACACTGACGGATCTGGAGTTGAAATCAAGGATTTTCCAATGAGAAAATGACCAGGAGTTAATGAATCATAATCGTTAGGATCGGAGCTTAAAGGAGAAATTGGTCTTGAATTCAATATTGCTTCGATCTGGGTCAGAACCGTATAAAAATCTTCGAAGGTTAAAATGGCGTTTCCTAATATTCGTTTTAGGTGAGCCTTGCATGACTTTATGGCAGCTTCCCAAATTCCTCCGAAATGAGGAGAATTCGGTGGAATGTGCTTCCATGACACACCTTCGTTAATCATTTTATCAGTAATCTCGTTTTGATTTGACTTTCTTTGTAAAAATTTATACAGTTCCTTTAATCCAGAAGCTGCGCCTATGAAATTCGTTCCATTATCTGAATATATTTCGCGAGGTTTGCCACGTCGTGCCATAAATCGTTTTAATGTTGCCATAAAACTATTCGTCGTTAAATCAGATACTAATTCAATATGAATTGCCTTCGTAACAAAGCATACAAACAAACATATATACGCCTTTAATTTTTTGTACCCCCTTGTTTGACGATCTCTTATTAGGACAGGACCTCCGTAATCTACTCCGCATATAAAAAAAAGGTGATTGCGGTGTTACACGACTTTTAGGCAAATTACCCATTAATGGATGGATCAATGTGGGTTTTACTTTAAAGCATGTTACACATTTTTGTACGATTAATCTTGTTAAATTTCTACTCCGATAGGCCAATAGGTATTACGCATTGTATTTAATAGTATTTGTGCTCCGCAATGATACAATTTTAAATACTCATGTCTAGCTATCAGAACTGTTAATGGGTGATTCTTTGGTAGTTAGTGATTTTAGTTTGAATATTTGTTTAATGCTTCCTTACTCATAATTATGTCTATGTCATGCTTGAATGTATCATGTTGTGTCTTGCTGTGTTTCAGTTAAATTTTGTAATCAAAATGGGCCTTGCCACTATATAAATGAATTAGATAGTAATTAGATTATGTTATTGTATGGAATATGAATCGGTTTTAGAATAAATTACGATAATTTCGTATTCCTTTGGAAAAACTGTCTGGTTTTAAACACACCGTGACTAGGCCAATAGAAACTTGTTTTGGGTTTGATAGATTCATTAACTATGTTTCTATTTCCTAGTGACATATAAGTATTCATAAAGTTATTACCTTCGGTAAATATATTTTGATTTGTTCGTAAATCATTTGTGCGTGAAATATAGCATTTACAATTCGCATTGTCTTTTATATGATTTGTAAATCGAGTTGTAACAATAGACCTTCCGTCATTTGTCAAGCTCTATTAGAAAAATGTTGTTTGCGTTGTGTTTTCGTTTTATTAAAATATTGTATGTCATTGCTTGCTTTCAAATCCCAAATTCTATTTTCTTGCGCTTTTACATTAGATCTACGATTGCATATTAAAAATGAATGTGAAGTATTAAGAGGTATGTTACCGGCAGAATGACATGAAATAATTTGTGGTGTATCAAGAGTCGGTGGTTGGTTTGAATTTCTGTGTAAGAGACTATGGTGATTTGAATTGCAAAAGGTACATCGACTCGATGAAAGGCATTGACTAACATTATGATTACACCGTAAACAATTAATGCATAATTTTAGTTCTTTTGCTTTAATTAATCTATCTTCTGTAGATAGTGATCGAAACTTTGGGCATTTGAATGCTGAATGATAAGTCCCATTGCAAAACAGACAAATATTTTTGCAATTGGTTGATGTATCGTAAGACTTCGTTTGTTTTGCGTAATTAGTGTTATTGTCTTTAAAATTATTGAAAATTCCGGTTCTTGTCTCAGTTGGGTTTATAGCTTCTAACGTCATACAGCGTTGATTTAGAAAGCTATTGAGTTCGGCAAATGTAACTAATTCTGACCCTCTATTCATGAGCATTTCCCACTCTTGGTGAGTTTTCTTGTCTATTTTTGTCATGATTAAATAATTAATTAGAGCGTCCCACTGGTCTACCGGTTGTTGCAACATTTTTAGACATCTTAAATGCTTATTAAACGTATCTATTAAATTGCGAAGATCCTTACCCGATTCATTGTGCATGGCTGGATGATCAAATAATTTTTTAATATGGTTATTTACGATTATTTTCTTGTTTTCAAACCGCGTTTTTAATAAGTCCCACGCAATAATATAATTATCGGCCGTTGCCGGTAGTGATTCTATGAGATTAGCAGCATCCCCCTTTAGGCACGATTTTAAATAATAAAACTTTTGGGCATTGCCTATGTTTGAGTCTTTGTGAATTAAACAAGAAAATGAATCGTAAAATTGTAACCAGTTTAAATAAGAGCCGTCAAACTGAGGCAAATTAATCTGAGGCAATTTAATGTTGTTAAGACTATTTGTCATATTAGAATCATTAAAGTTGTTTGAATTAATATCTGACTTATTTTGTGCTATTTGACTGAATTTTAATAAAGTTGCTAGGCACCTTTTATATTTT